GGTTTGATTTGTTTTGTTTGTTTGGGTTTTTTTTCCTTTTTTTTTTTTGGTTTTTTTTGGTTTTTTTTTTTTTGTTGTTTTGGTTTTTTTTTTGGTTTTTTGGGTTTTTTTGTTTTGATGATTTTATGGAGAACTAAGTAAAGGAACTGAGACTAAGAAGAAACCAAGTGGAGTATCTTGACTAATATGTGCATTGCAGTAGGAAGATTCTTTATGGGGCTCAGAGGATATTTTCAAATGTAATACTCACATGGTGATAAAGCCCAGTTGGGCTGTAAATTCATGAGAGAGACCTCTCATGCTTTGTATTTTTTGCAGCATTACAATTAGTAATGGTACGTAGAGCAGATGTAATTCAAACAGATATAACTTCTATGAAATGTAATATTGTTTGAGTTCATTTGAGCCATCATATTGTCCTCCTGAAAGCAGGACTTTTATGGAATTAAAATTATGTACCATCTCCCTGATTTGAATATTCCATATCCTCTTATCTTTCTTATTTTCTAGTAAGCACATGGGAAACAATCAGGTAGGAATTTCCAACAAATTCCTAGTACAGCATTTCAATAGTGTGATCCATTTTCCTTAGAAGCCAAAACAGACAAAACACCCAACAGTTTTCAGGTTAACCCTGGAAGAGGACATACACTGTGCCTGAGCAAGCATCTTCCCAGTAGCAATGGGATTGTCAGAATCCAAAAACTGATTCCCTGCCATCTTCCCACACATTTCAATAAAAAAAAACACCCAATAAAATCCATAATGCAAGAAAAATTAATCTTCTGTTCTTCTCTGTAAGAAAAACACCACTGATCAGAGAAATTTGGACTTCTGCGTTGCCTTTAAATGTAAGAGGCATAGTTTGACAATCCATTGAGCCTAGAGGAACTTTATATTTAGAAAACACCATTGAATGCATATGTTAGGCACAGTTTGAATCACTAATGTGAGGATCCATGAAAGGAGTTGTACAAGTACGTCATTCTCGCTAAGGAGTTTAGGAGCATAAAACAAGTCTTCCTAAAACATGACAAATCACTCTCCCTTCCTTCCCTTCCTTAATATTTTGCTTTAATGAGTAAATAACTCTCATTTTTTGGTTTCAGGCTTTGATGGGTAAGCCATATGGCTCTTTACCTAGAAAAACCGTCCCAAGAGCTGAAGAAGCAACCGCTATGAACTTTGCTACTCTCTGGGATTTTAGTGTAAGTGCATAATCTTGCAATACTTCATATTCATATGACTCTTTTATTCATAAATACTTCATTGTTTAATATTCAGTGATTTAATATGAATTATTTCTAGAGATAATTGGCAATAGAATTAATTTACATATTTTTGTCACAAGCTCTCTGTATAGATGTTTCTTTCAGACAAAACACATAACGAAGCTGTATGTTCACAAGCTCAAGTATATGTAGCAATCCAAAGACACATGGGGAAATATCTCAAAGATGGTTTACCATCTCTGGGTACTGACTTTCCATTTCTTATGCAGGAATTTGGTCTTCTGCTTTTGTATGACTAAGATCCTGAATTTTAAAATGCTGTGTGACTTAGAAAAAAAAAAGGAAATTAAATTAAAAAGAAACACTTCTGTATTCTTTTCTAAAACAAAACACGCTGCTTTTAGTTTTTTTCCAGTCTTACAGAACGTGCAGATATTTTAGCTGAATTGAGAAGCATATTATAATGCTTTACTGTTGATGCGATGCCCAGTCTAACCTGTACTGATAAGCTAATGATATACTTCTAAATATGTCATACTGCTTTTTCTTCCTGAAAACAACAATTTTATCTTATTGTGGCAGATCTCTATAGTTAATGTCTTTATATATAAATATGGTACAACTTTGTGTATTGGTGAAATTTGTTATTACAATATGTTGCTTAGAAGACTGTTACATTTCTCTATGTTGTGCAGTCAATGTCATCCTAGGGTACTCCATCTGAAGTTTTCCTTCAGGTTCATGGAAGCAGCATCCATTGAACTAAGTGTGATTTCTTCCTCAGTCCCCTGCACTCTTTCCATGCTGAAAAGAAGTTCCAAGACTTTTAAAGAGCAATGCCTTTACATATCTTTTAGCACTTCAGTTGTTTTAGCAACAGCAAGAATGAATATAATGTTGAAAGCAGACCCATTTCTTGAAAAAATAAACTCAGGTAGAGGTTACTCCAGTTTACAGCTCAGCCCCTCCAGCTGTCTGCAAAACTCCTGTCTAAAAGTGGCATCTCTATGTCAGTCTGGCCCCTCTGAGGTCACATTCAACCCATACTGGGTGAAAGACCTGTGCAGGCTTTACAGCCCTACACAGGCAATCCCAGGAGGTGCACAGGCAGATTTCATACCAGTACACTTTTCAACAGGAGGCCAAGTCTGATGTCTCCTGAAAAAACATAACAAGGGTATGATGTCTATGGTTCTCATTGGTAATGCCTTTTTTTAATAGGGTTGAGCTGTTGAGAGGTCTTGTGACAAACAAATTTTAAACAAGATTCCTTGGTCTATGGCTCAGTATTTTGATGCAGAGACTCAGATGATGCCAGATTTTGGTCAGATATTTAACTATTTTGGGTCTATTTTCAAACTTCAGCTACCAATGGAGGAAATAACAGTTTGTCAGAGAACAGAAGATGAGAAAAATCTAGACTGGATAAACAACTTTCCCATTTGCAATCAAATCTTTCAGGCTTCCTAACTGTAGATAACTGAATTGAAAGAAATATAATGATAGGTAGAAATTACAATATTTGTCTGTCTTTTGACTATAAATTCATGTAAAATGAATAGATTCCTTCTGCTTCATTTTGCCACATAAATTCATAGAATCACAGAATAGAGTATGCTGAGTTGGAAGGAACCCATCAGAATCATCGAGTCCAACCCTGGCCCTATGAAGGACACCTCAAGAATCACACCATGGACCTGAGAACCTTCTTGAACTCAGACAGGCTTGATGCTGTAATCATTACCCTGGGGAGCTTGTTCCAGTGCTCAGTCACCCTCTGGGTGAAGAACCTTTTGCTGATATCCAACCTAAACCTCCCCCAACACAGCTTAATGCCATTCCTTCGAGTTCTGTCACTGGTCACCAGAGAGGAGAGATTGGTACCTATCTGTCCTCTTCCCCTCATGGGGATAGTGAAGACTACAATGAGGTCTCCACTCAGTCTCCTCCAGGCTGAACACATCAAGTGACCTCAGTGGCTCCTCATAAGGCTTTCCCTCCAGACATTCCATCAATCCTTGTGGCCCTCCTTTGGATGGTCTCTAATAGCTTGATGCTTTTTTTGTATTGTGGTACACAATACTTCACACAGCAGTCAAGCTGAGGCTGCCCCAGTGCAGAGCAGGGTGGGACAATCACCTCCCCTGACAGACTGGCATGTTTTGCCTGATACCCCCCAGGACAAAGTTGGCCCTCCTGGCTGCCACGGCACTGCTGACTCATATTCAACTTGCTGTTGACCAGGACCCCCAGGTCCCTTTCCATGACACTGCTTTCCAGCATCTCATTTCTCAGTCTGTACCAACAGCCAGAGTTGCCCTGTACCATGTGTAGAATCAGGCACATTCCCTTGCTAAACTTAATATGATTGGTGATTGCGCATCTCTCCAACTTGTCAAGGTCTATCTGAAGGGCCTCTCCACTTCAGAGAGAATTGAGAGGTTCTGTCAATTTAGTGTCACTGGCGAACTTACTTAATGTTCCTTCCAGTCCTGAGTCCAGGTAGTTAGTGAAGATGTTGAAGAGAACTGGGTTGAAAATGGAGCCCTGTGGAAGCCCACTAGTGCCTGGTCACCAGCCTAATGCCACACCATTCACTATAACTCTTTGTGTCTGACCTGTGAGGAAGTTGCTCACCATATGTATGCTCATATGCTCACCAGCTGTATGCAGGACATTTTGTCTAGAAGGACATATGCTCATATGCTCACCAGCTGTATGCTGGACATTTTGTCTAGAAGGCTCCTGTATGAGCCAGAATCAAAATCTTTGCTGAAATCCAAAAGATTACAGCTACTGGCTTTCCTAGATCAACTCTGTCACAGAAGAAAATCAAGCTGGACAAGCAGGACTTTCATGAAGCCATACTGGCTGTGATCAATGACTGTGAGTCTTTCAATACCTCCCAGAATCTTCTCCATAACTTTACTGGCATTGAAGTGAGATTGACAGGCCTGTAGTTTCCAGACTCCTCCTTCTTGGTCTACTTGACATCACTGAATTCTTAAGAACACTCAAAAATCATCAGAGGTTTTGCAATGATATCAATCAGTTCTTTGAGGAATCTTGGATGAATCCCATCAGGTCCCATAGATTGGTAGGGATCCAACTGGAACAGCAAATCCTGCACAATTTCCAGGTCAACTGGGAGCTGATCAATCTCGCAGTCACACTCCTTCAGCTCAGGGCACTGAGAGTCCCTTGATCCGTTACTGATGTTGAAGACAGAGGCAAAGAAAGTGCTAAACACCTCTGTCCCTTTTTCTGAGGTGACCATCCTCATCCTGTAATGGGCCAATAATATTTCTATACTGCCTATTGCCATTGTCAGATTTGAAAAAACTCTTTTTATTGTCCTCCACATTTCTGGCCAGCTGCAACTCCAGTCAAGCTTTGGCCGCATGAATTTTCTCCCTACGATGGCAAGCAGCATCTCTGAATTCATCCAGTCTCACTTGGCCTTGCTTCCACAGGGCACATACCTTCCTTTTTTTCTGTCTTTCCAAGGAAGATCACTGCCCAGCCAAACTGACCTTCTGACTCGCCTGCTTCACTTCCAACATTTGGGGATTGCCTGCTCCTGTGCCCTTAGGAGGTGGTCTGAAGTGACCAGCACCGATGGACCTCAGCAGCTGCAAAAAGATTTCTCCCAGGGGACCTTCCTTACTAATTCCCTGAGCAGCCTGAATTCTGCTCTCCTCATGTCCAGAGTTGAGGTTTTGCTGGCACTTTTCCTCCTGTCAACAGAAATTTTAAACTCAATCAGTTCATGGTTGCTGTGGCCAAGACGGCCATCAGTCTCCTCTTCTCTCACGACATCCCCTCTGTTGATAGGCAGCAGACCAAGGACAGTATCTTTCTGAGTTGGCTCCCTTAGGACCTGTTCCATAAAATTGTCATTCAGGTTTTTTAGGAATCTTCTGGCCAGGGTTGAACCAGCTGTGTGATGCTCCTGGTTCATTTCTGGCAAGTTGAAGTCCCCCATAAGGACAAGGGCGGTTGACTTGGAAGTGGCCCTTAGTTCCTCAAGGAGTGATTTGTTGGCATCATCATCCTGGCTGGGAGGTCTATGGCAGACTCCCACAATGACAACTGCATTATTTGTTTGTCCCTTGATTCTTACCCAGAGGCTCTCAACTGTGCCATTGCCAGCTGTGGGCTCCATACATTGTAACCTTTCTATGACATACAATGGCAGTGACAGACTCTTCTAGGATCAAAAAAAGGATAGAAAGGTCTTTCTAAAAAGCTGCGTATACAACATTTTACAATGACTGCTTCATGAACTGATATTACATCTAACACATCAGAAGCTGTATTTTTGAGTGACAGTAAGATTATATCTAGACATGGACCTGGGAAGTTAAATAACAACAATTAAATTATAAAATGAGAAATTAAAATATCAGAGAGATATCTGAGTAAAAAGAGTTACAGTAACTTGAAGATGATTTAAAGAGAATAGAGACTAGAAGTGCTTTTTACAAAAAATTGGAACAATGTTTTTAAAAGAAATGTATTTGAGAAAACATGAATGCAGACATTGTGGAAAGACAGAAGAAGTTTATAATAATTGTCAGAAATGGAACATGAGAGCTCTGAAAAAGAAAGTGTAATAAACAACAAAGTAACAGTTTACACAAGGAGCAAATGCATATGCAATAAACACAGAATTAGGCAATGAAAGAGATGGATCTCCTGAAATATGAAGCGGAAAAAAAGAATTTTCTTGAGGCATGTCAGATTGACAAATATTCCCTTAAGACAATGACATCTTTGTTTAAACAGCACAGGAGATAATACCTTTCATCTGCTACCAGTACTTGTATGCTACCAAGTGTGTTACAAATATATGAACACAAATCACCAATCGTTATTTCATCCTTGTAAAAAACCCAACAAAAATGCAAAAACTCCCAACCTTTTCCATCCTGTGAGATTTATTATAGTTTTGCTTACAACTGATCTGATTTCACTGAAGTGAATGTTTCAGTACATTGCTATTGTTACAGTTGGTGACTATGAGCATAATTAAGAAATGTAATGTTATAATTTTTGCTAACTTTTCAGGGCTTTGCACAGTATTCTGTACTTTTTTATGGTTATTACAATAACCAGAGGACAATTGGATGGCTGAAGTTCAGGATGCCTCTTTCGTATTTCCTTGTTGGGGTTGGGACTATTGGCTACAGCTTTATGATTGTCATACGAACGTAAGTGTTCCTTGGCTCTAGAATAAAGTAATTCAAAGAAGCAAATAATTCCACTATGGACCCCTCAGACTGTCTTTTTAAAAATACGGTAATTGTAAGGACAAGGCAATGCAAGATCAAGTGCAAGGCCGAAGTTGTGCAAGATTCCTTCAACCTATATTATTTTTCTGTTGTTCTACAGCACAAGCTTGTGTTACAGTGTTGTGAAAGTGGGAATAGATCTTTACTGAAATAAAAAAACCACTTCTGTCCTGATCTTCAGAATAAATAATGAATGCATAAAGTATGGAAGAGAGTTGTTAGCCTATCTTTCCATAATACTTGGCATCTTTTCATGATACTTGTCAGCTAACATTCAGGGAATTCAGTTGTTCTACATTTAATGATACCTTATGTGAACTAAACTACAAAGCAGGAAAGAAGCATATGGCAAATAATTCCATGCGCAGCTCACAGTCAGCAATAAATGCTGCCAATTTTTATAATCTTTAGTACCCTTGATTCAAGCAAAATGACCACCTAAGACAGTAATATAGTTAGCCCTAGCAGTGGCTTCACAAAATGCCTATGGTGAAAAAAATCAGAGCGTTGCAGGTCAAGATTCAAAGACATTTGTAAATATAGAGAAAAATGCAGATAATCTATTTCCACTGTTTCATGCTGAAGGCAGTATTTTTCATTTGCGTGAGCACTAGATTAATTCACATTCTGTCTTTCAAACTGGTTCCTACGTGGGGCAAGCATTTCAAAAAAAAAAGAAAAAAACCCCAAAAGTCTTCAGTCACATATGTGTATTTTTGGAGAGGAAACAAACTACCACAATAAAAGAGCAATTCATTTAGTTCAAAAATGTGTTTTAAAATATTTTTTATAATGATTAGAAAAGTTTTAGTCTCAGATAATTTTATTTGTCACTCAGACAAAAATAAATAAATACCTTCTAGCAGAAAAACCCTATAGCCCAAACAAGGGAATATCCTTGAGTCAAAAATACATTGTATGTGGTAACTTTCAATCTGGCCATATGACACTAATGCTGACCAACATTTAGATAATCATATGAGAGTGCTTGCAGACTTCTGCTCTTTTCTGTTTCTCCAGAAAGAAGCACAGTGGGCAGTGAAACTAAGAGCAGTGTAATAGTAGGTGCTACTATTTTTCTACTGCTGACTGAGAACTCGGAAAGGAAATATCTACGTGAAAGAGATAGTGAGGATAATAAACACTGTTACTCTGTTTAAGGGAAATATTTACATAAAGGGTTGCTCTCTTAAGCTCTTAAAGTGCACAACATAAAATTGAAACATTTCTGGTCCCAAAGAAATTATATTCTAACCACAAGATTATTCATTATTTCATTAGAAACTCTTGAGAAGTCTATAAACTAGAAACAGGGCAGATTCTACCAAGAATCTTCCATAATCTCTGATCCTTCTGTATATAACCAAACCTGGTATTGATTTATGTCAGCTCAAAGGATTTGCTGTATTATTTGCTTACTATTCTTCTCCTAGATTTGAGAGAATATGGTCTCTTAAAAATGTGGTATGTAGAATGCATTAATATTAATATTAATAGCATAACTCTACTGCACTAGTGAGCTTTAAAATAGGTGTTGCCTTTTTGTCACTGATAAATAAATACATTATTGAAGGCTTAATGATTTTTCCCCTACCAATATAATTCATCCTTGTGCTTAATGATTTGAGTTAGGCGACCAACTATGCAGAAGCAAGACCATGGTTATTAAGTGAATGACAACTGTTTGAAACAGAATTTTGTAGTTCAGATTAAGCCAAATCTGAAAAAGTATTTCTCTGAAGAAATAATCTGATGTTTCTGCATACTATTATAAATCTCTTTTGTATGTGTATAGGAGATAGAAAGCTCTATTAGTGATATTT